AGAAGTAAACAGAGATTTGCACAATTCGAGTGTTCAAGGAAAAAAGTTTTATGTGGTAAAAGGTGAAAGGAAAAATTAAATTTATACTGATGGGCGACCGTCAAAAGTAAAAACGCAGTAATGGAAGGATCATAATAATGGTAACTAATACTTCATGAACAGTGGAGCCGAAAAGACAGCCTGAAAAAGTGTTGGAAATTGTGGAACCAGTAAGAAGATGACACGTGTCTAAAGCATTAAATGGAAGTGATAATTAAAGCGTCAACTCTGTCAGAACATTAATGGTGACAAAAATTCTCCTTTAATGAATTCAACTTCCCAAATATTCAAACTGATGAATAAATGGAAAGTGGGGGGACTATCTGTATTGGGAAAAATTGTATTTACATATATGGTGATGTGTCATGGCACGTAGACTGATCAAGCAGTCAAAGAATTAAGGTTGGTTAACAGATACGAGCAATAACAGACACGAGCAACGACAAATACGAGCAAGTTAAATGAAGAAGGCACGAGCAGTCATACAAATAATTCAACGCTCGTACCTATTCAAGACATTCAAAGGTCAAGGATCGAGAAGAGACAAAGGAATGAATCTGACAGCAAAAAGAGCCCAGATACAGCATTTAATGAGTATTAAAAACTAGAAACGTTAGAGAATATGTATTGAATGTATATGATTGCATAACGTAACATTTAAGGTCATTAATTACCCATAATTGTCTTATTATGACAAAGGGAAAATCTGTATTCCCAAAACAGCTATAAAAGGGAAAGTCACAAACAACTGTGGAGACACGAAAAACATTACTGGAATATACTTTGTTCTATTTGCTTTCTGATTATATTATTCAAAATCTCTTTCGTATATACTTTTCCGATTATCAGTAACCCGAGTTCTTCTAAATTCAAGCTTTGACCAAAAATCTAATTTTTGGTTAAACAACAGTATAATTTTTCGGTAAAGGAGTGTCGGTTGACACCCGTTTGGTGCATGTGGCTCCTCCACTGGTTGAAATATACATAATTAGAGTTCTAGATGGAGTTAGAAGGACTATACTTACAAGGATCAACTAATGATGTATATTATAATATTAATTCATTTGACAGAAGCTTTTTAGTGAACAAAAATTTATCTTTTGTTGTTAAAGTCTAGAGCTACCCTTGCATGAAAGCGGAAGAGGTAGCTTACTAACCTACCAGAGTAAGTAGTCTTGTTCGAAAGCCTCAGGCGAAAAGACAGCTTAAAAGTAACAAGGTTCTGAAAGAAAGATAAGCCTTAAGGCAACTAAAGCTAGGAAGGTATGTTAAAGTGATTAGTCTTTCTTATCCGAAAAAAAGCAAAACAACAAGGGAAGTTTTAGGCAACTTACTGGTTTCGAGATGGGTTTCCTTGCGGGTGTGTCCACTTGTTTTCCTATTCAAGTTCTGGTTCCAATTTCAGAAAGTTCAGATTCTTATTGCCACTACTTAGCATACACTGGTTAAAAGGTTAATTAAATGGTTCATTTTTCTTAACTTCAGATGAGTTAGGTTCTTTACGCAAAGAAGCCAGGCGAAAAGCGTACACGAAGATTATAAATAATATGTTAAAATCGAATCACGACAAGATGTTTAACACAGAGATTTTATTATAAAGCGGAAATTTATCTACCTCGCCCGGTATTGAACAGACTATTGTTGTACAACGATGTTAACTTATAAACAAAGGTAACAGGTAAATTGGTGTTTAATTTACATGCTAAAATTAAAAAATTTGACATTTCAAAACTCTAAGATAAAATTATCCCCCCCCCCTCCCCAACCCACAACCAACCCACCCCAACCCCAGGAAAAAGAAGAAAAAACACAACAGATATTCTATACGTACCCCATTTCTTCTTCCTGACTCCCAAAACCTCCATTCACTCTTAAAACCTCTCCATTTTCGTTTGAATCACCAGGTGAGATAAGCTAACTTCCACCAATATACTAGTAGCTAATATTTTGAAAGACAAAAAAAAAAAAAAAACACTGTTCTT